GTATGAATAGGAAAGACCTACCACACAGACGGTTTGGTGCTGAGTTCCAGGCACCCACAGGTAGCCTTAGAAACGGTCCCTCCACCGAATACTGTGATGCTGCCATTCACTCAATTTGACCTCTAGCCCTCTTGCCATACCAGTACAGCTAAGAGGCTGAGGGCTGCGTCCTAGGAAACCGTGCCCAAACCTGAATTTAGCAGATCAAGGTTTTTTACCACCATTCTTTTCCCATCTCTTCTGCCTTCTGACTTGGTCATCTCAAAACAGGAAGGACCAGCTGTCAAGTAGCCTACATGTCACCTTCAGAACCCTCCTTCAGCCTTCCTGCTCCATCACTCCCCACAACCAGTCATGTCCCACCACATGCTGCTGGCCCCTCCATAACCTCCCTCTTCCATTCCCACAGGCAGTACGCCTAGTCTTCAATGTAAAGCCTTAGATGCTCCCCCGTAAGTTGCTACGAGGAACCCTGCAAGGATCTCCCTGTCTTCTGCCTCAACAGCCTCCATTCCATTTCCAGGGTACTGCCACAAGACTTTTGGGATGAAGAATAAATAGCTCAGCTAAAACTAGTGTCCAGAATCACCACACTGTCCAAAAAGTTCTTCACCTTGTCCTTCTCTGCCTCATGGGCAGCAGCATGGCTACCACACTGCCTACCTCAGACCCACCAGGCTCTCTCTGCACCTTCCTATCGCTCACATGTTCTTCCTGAACCTTAGCAGGCCTCCTACACTCAAGGGCTTTCCAGGGTCAAATGCAAAGCCACCTCCTAACAATAACCGTAAACGCAGTCACATTTCTATGACAGCTCTGTGGGCTACTTCCTACTCTTTGCTCTCTGGTTTCCTCTTTCCTCAGAATTCCCAGGACCTGGCAAGATGCCTGCTGCTCAAAAAACAATATAGACACTGGTACCTGGCAGCAAGAACCCTCACATGGCATAGCTTAGCACGTCCTGGGCTTCCTCCCCTGTGCCACCATTGCCTGGGCCTAGTCTTCCAGATCTAAAAGCGATTTTATCCTCAGCCTCCCCTTTCTCCCTCATGAACTCAAAGGATTTTAACCAAAATGGGGGAAAAAAAATCTAGCACTAAGGGTTACAGACCAGCCTCAGTTACATAATGAGTTTCAGGACAGTGTGGGCTACAAGAGGGAGACTCTGTCTCCAAAAAAAACTTATTCATGTCTCCACTCCATTGCCATGACAGTGCCCAAATACATTCATCTCCTTTCAAGGTATCCAATGACTTCAAATGACAGGTACCAACAGTATTTTTAAAGAAGCTATTTATAGACACCAAGATTTCAACATAGCCCTATAGTATCATTTTTCAGAATTTCAAATCTATTACTGTGTGGTGTTTCACTGAACTGAAAACAAACGAAACTGCCAAACTAGGCTTGAGATTAAAAATAATTGCCGGAAGAAATAAAAGGCTGTTTCACCACTTGCAGTTTTTTGTTTCCATTTTGGCTAATTCCGATTAGTTCAGGGTGATAAAGCATGTCATCCCATTAGAGAGTTCCATTATCACGATCATCTCTGCAGTGTCTCCATCGGCACCAGTTCTGTTTTCTGGGAAGTCTTAACTGCAGCTGCCAAGGTTGAATCTCTTCTGTATGATACAGTGACCTGAATTTATTTCATTTAAGCTTCAAATTAAATTCATACATATGACCAAATAATGCCTAGTATTTACAAACAATAAAATAATAAAAGACAATGATCTGAAAACCACAGATATTTGTGGCAGATTTTTTTTTTCCCCACAATCACCTGGACGGGACACAACACTTCTTCAACCAGAGAAAGGATAAACAAACTGTGGTACATCCATACCATAGAATAGTACTCAGCAATAAAAAGGACCAAGAATCGATATACAAGAATTGATATATGGGCACATCCTGACAAGCGAAAGAAGCCATTTATAGGACATCCTGGGAAAACTCAACCAGTATAGACAGAGAAGACTACAGCTATAGCAGGACTGCAGCTGCCAGGGTCTTAGGTGAGGAAAGAGTTTACCTCAAAAGGATAGCAAGAAGTTTCCGGATGATGGAATTATTCTGCATGGATTATATCAACTCATACATGGCTATATACACATCAAAACCTAATGTACTGTACACCATATATCACTGGGTATAAATTAAACATTTTAAATTCTCTAACCATATCTTTGATTAGAGATCATCCCTTAAACATACTTAATACCAACTTATGGGCTTCTGGGCTGCTGTCTGTAAGGGCTGCTGCTTATTTCAACGGTTTTGAAAAGTGTGGGGGCACTCTGGGAATTGAGGAAAAAGCAGCCACAAATGTTCTTCAGATCCATTCGTCACCTTGTACTACCATTCCCTCTTGAGGTTCCACATCAGGGAAACTTCTGCAGCAGACTTGGCTCACTTCTACCAAGGACATGGGCAAGGTTACTCAAAATCCACACAACACAGAAGCTCACAAAAGGATTTCAGAGAAAGGGGGCAGGGACCAAATCCTAACATTATAACTCAACCTCGCAAGTGTAAGAAAAAAAAAAAAATCCACTTAAATGTCCCTTACTTCCTTCCAAGACTGTCCTTAAAAATGAGGCAGCTACAGGATAAAGTTTGGGGGCAGCCTGGGGCATGTATCAAAACCCAGTCTCTGAGGCGGGTGGGGGTTTTTGAGAGAAAAGAGAGGGTGGTAAGAAGGTCAGGAGGGAAGAAAAGTGAGAGAGACTATGAACACAGAATGAAACCCTGAACCAGGTTAGACTGAGCTGGTAAAAAAAAAAAAAACCTTGGATTGAGTGTTCTCCTTAACATGGAAAACATGACTCAATTTCAGGCAAAAGATGAAAACAAGCAAGTGTTCACCACCCAGTTACACTTTCTTTCCAGTGCACTCTCGCCAAACCCGCACATTCCTGTTGCAGACTGGGAAGGCCCGAAGGTCCTCCTCAGAGACTGCCTCAGGAAACAGCAAGCAGGCGCCTGCTGTAGCTACAGGATGGGTGCCATGGTGTTCCCTCCTGGCTCTCCCAGGAAACATGCCCTTGCTTTTTTCCAGAACACTCTGTGTTTCTGGCTCCCTCTTCCCCAGAGACAAGGGCCTGCTACCTTGTTACAGCCCAGCATGAGATCAACACCTGAGGCCAGCTCCAACCCAAGACGAGCTCATGACTGCTGCCAGGGAGAACCAGCTCCCCAGCCTCCAACAGCACTTGCAGCTGGAAAGACTGGCCTAAATGCGAAACAAATGCTATTTTCAGGAGAGACTTCTTGGAGGGAGGGGGAGGGGAAAGAACAAAGCTAAAGCCACCAAGAACATTCCATGACATGCAGCACCTAAAAAGGGCTTTTAAAACACATTCTCAAGAAACGGTCATCGCAAGGGGTGAACCATAAAAGTTAAATAAAAACCCCTGCCCTGGAAAGATGAGAATGAAGGACTAAATGACAAAATAGCTTATTGTATTAAGCTAATTAAGGCTTATCACATTAGCCATCTGAGTTTTAGTTGGCACCAGAAGCGCAGGGGCTAACACACCATGCAGTATAGATTTGAATATGCTCGGCAAGCATTATTTCTACCACAGTCAACTGAAGAACCTCCAGCAGTCAAAAATGAGACAGAACTGAACATCAGTTTTAGCACTGTGATTTGCAAAGAACCTTGTTCCATCGTGGAAGCTATCTGCTGGTATATCGTCTGAGATCATCCTTATCTCTATTAAATACAACATAAAATATTCCACACTAACCACGCACTCTAGTCTCCCCTTTTTTTGCCAGTGCTAGCACACAGGCGACTCTCTGCAGTCCAATGGAAAAAAAAACAAAACAAAAACATTCCAACAATAAAAACCCCTGCATACTTCATGCTTAACACCCTTCACTGCAGACAGACTGCCCACTAATAACTTCACCAATTCTAAGATCCTCCACATAACTGAATAGTCTATTCAGCTGAACCCGAAGAGGAACACGATACGCACTTCAAAGGGAGAAAATGTATTTGCAATCAGGTCTCCCATGGGCTCCTCTTGACTGTGCTTTTACCAAACCAGCAGAAAGGCAGAACCAGCTCTGTTACTGAGATCATATTGGACCTGACTCTGGTGCGACTGGTTTCCTGTTTGGGGAAGTTGCAGTTCTTTGCCCAAGGAACCCCAAGGCAAAATGTTCAATCTTCTCCTGGAAGCGTCCCCAGCCTTTGTTCTTCCCCAGTTTGCTGCCCTCCTCTGCTTGCTTCTCTCCTCTCCTTCCCAAGCTCTAGTTTACTTTTTTTTCTTTTTTTTTTCCCAATCCAGCTCTGACTGCAGTAAAGCCTTAGGTATTTCTACCACCACTACATTAAAACTGTAAGCAACCAGTCATTTTTTTCCCAGATGAAACCAGACAGACCTGAGACCTGGGTTCCTCTTAGCCCTTCGTCAGGATTCCACAGTAAAATGTATGCCACAAACAATCCAATGGCGAACTCACTGTCGACAGCCCCAGAATCAATAAAAGACATTCCACCACTTGACTGAGAAACCCTTCAGGTCCACACGGGAGCATGGAAAAAGGAGAGGTGATGGATGAACAAAAGACAATCTACCTCCAGGCTCCTCAAATCCTAAAAAGCTGGCTGGCCTGCTTCGATTTGGTGAAGCCCTTCCTTTTCTTACAATTGTGGGCAAAACGAGAGCTGTGGACTGCTCCTATGCAAAAACAGTGCATTCTCCACAAGGCCCAGCCGCCTGCCACCCTCTAAACATGCCTTTCCAGGCCTGACTCTTCCAAATGTCCAGGCACATGCGATTTAATGAAGGCATTCAGATCTCTCCTTGATAGCAACACCGTCAAAAGTCACTGGAATCCCATTAAACATGGATAACAGGAAAGGTTATTTGTTCTCCACTCTGACCCCCACTCGTCTCCAGGGTGCCAACACACTGTCAGTCTGTGTCAGAATGGATGTGCAAAGTAATATTTAAATTCATGCTAAAAATAGCATATCTCACCTTGTGAACCTTGACCTTTTGAAAAGACTTTGGACCAGTGTTCAGTTACTGTCACACGGTTGCATTCTCTGCAAATATGAAAGGGTTAAAAGCAGCCCCAGTCAACAGGCCTACAAGGAAAAAAAAGACAGCATGTATGGCTGACAGCATAACTGGAATGCATTTATGTTCATTTCCTAGAACAACATTGTTACCTTTTGGCCTTCATAATAGTCCCAAGTAGCCCCAACACCCTTTAGTAGCTTCTAAAAGGAAAAGCAGAAAACAGAACATAGCCTGCAAGAGAAAAAGGCATGCAAAGTAGCATTCTCCAGCAACAGACTACCATTTCAAATCCATCACTTCACTCTGGTTTTGTTTCCTTAAAAAAAAAAAAAAAACAGAGAGAGAGAGAGACTGACAAACCAAGTGTCCCCACCCTAATAAGGCACATACTTTTTTTCTTTTCTTTAATAAGGGTCATAAATCTCAGCTCCTTGTCCATCCCTTAAGCAGAAGAAAAAGGCAGGAAAAGCCCAAGAAACCTCAGATCCTGCAAATCTGCGCCTTTCCCCCATCATCTCTACACAGGCTCTTAGGGCTCCATCAGTCACGTCCCAGTGCTGTGTGGTGTCTAAGTGTGCGTTTACATACTGTGTTGGGATGGTACCTTCCAGCAAGCTCCTCTGCTTTTGGCTGCCATGAAGGGAGGAAGCTGCTATCCCACTGTAGTAGCTCAGTGACTGCATTGTGTTCAGGAGCTGATCTGCCTCAAACCAGTTTCAGCCGGTTCTGGTCACCCTACATAAAAAAGCTATGGCAACCCTCGCTGAGTTGCCAACAAGTCCCTGAAAATCATCACCACAGGGTGGGAGCTCGCTGGGGGATGCCTCTCCCTCTTAGGGCTTCCTGAGGAGGGAAAGGTCACTGGATGTGCCCCCTCCACACAAGCACAGAACCCTGGAAATGCTCACTTCACCAGCCCCCCACAGCCCCTCAGGGCTCATCCCCCTCCTCTCCACCCCGAAGCCCACCGCAGCAGACACTGTTTTCCCCCTCCTTCTCTTTCCCCCACTTACCTCCCACAACCTGGCTCAGATCTTTGTGTACGTGTGTGTCAGTGTATGTTCCCTGTGTTGGTGGCTGACAAAGAGCCCCCAAGAAAGCAATCTATGTGTGCCTCCTCACACAGGATGCGTCGGCTGCAGGAGCCGGCCTGGCCTCCTAGCAGAGTGGTGCTGGCTTGTTGACCAGGCTCCTCTCTGCCTGTCACCCCCACCCCACCCAGCCCCCTCCTCCCTTCCGTCCTTCTCTCTCCCAGCCCTGTCACCACCACCACCAGCAGCCCCCCCAGTCTCCTCCTCCTCCTCCAACCTTCTCTTCTTTCAAGCACCTGGGGGGGAGAAGTCCAAATCCCTTCACCTCTGGGTAGTACACTGGTGAGGTGTGGGGCTCTAGGGAACAAGTCAAGGGGCAGCAGGGAAGAGGGGGCACCCAGGCCTTGGGAAAATCCTCTGTGCACAAGCAGCTCTGGCGGGGGAGGCGAGCCCGCGCTCACGTGGCCCCCTCTGGAGTCGGTGGGGCCTAGCAACACCGGCCCGGCCTCGGGCCCCCCCTCAAGAAGCTGGCTGGGCGCGAAGGCCGGCTGTCCCCAAGGCCAGGGTGGGACAGGCCGCCGCACTCAGGCCAAGGGGCCTGCGCCTCGCGCTCGCCGTGACCCGCGGGGTGGCACGAGGGGCCCGATGCCCCCTCCCGCCCGCGTCCGCCCGCACCCCCGCGGTCCCCTGTCCCGGGCGCACACCCACCCCCTGGCCGGGCGGGCCTCCGCAGCGCTCAAGCCCGGCTGTCCGGGCCGCGGCTCGGGCGACCTCTGCTCCGCGCGCCGCCGGCGGCTGCTGCTGCTGCGCCCGCCGCGGTGAGAGCGGCGGCGGCGGCGGCGGCGGCGGCGGCGGCGGCGGTGGCGGTGGCTTCCATGCTACGG